CCAGGTCTGTCCTAGGGTCTGTCTGGAGGCTGTCCCGGGGCTGTCCCAGGGACTGTGCCAGGTCTGTCCTAGGGTCTGTCTGGAGGCTGTCCCGGGGCTGTCCCAGGGCTGTGTCGGGGCTGTCGCGGTGTGATCCCACCCTGTCCAGCAGAGCGCAGTGAAGGAGGCGGGGGGGTGAAGGAGGCGGGGGCAGTGCCGAGGCTGTCCCGGGCTGTGTCCCGGCTCTGTCCCGGTTTGATCCCTCGTGTCCCGCAGAGCGCGGTGAAGGAGGCCGGGGCCGAGGAGGAGCTCACTCCCGCGGCGCTGGCCCGGCAGGTGGAGGGGCTGAAGCAGCAGCTGCTCAGCTCCCACCTCGAGCGGGTGCTGGGCCCCGGTGCTGCCATCGACTTCGCCGACCCCGAGGGCGCCCTGGCCAAGTGAGTGGGGCCGGGGGGTGGCAGTGTCCCCAGGGTGTGGCAGTGTCCCCAGGGTGTGGCAGTGACCCCACGGAGGTGTGGCAGTGACCCTATGGAGGTGTGGCAGTGTCCCCGGGGTGTGGCAGTGACCCCACAGGGGTGTGGCAGTGTCCCCACAGGGGTGTGGCAGTGTCCCCGGGGTGTGGCAGTGTCCCCACAGGGGTGTGGCAGTGTCCCTGGAGGGTGGCAGTGTCCCCAGGGTGTGGCAGTGACCCCAGGGGTGTGGCAGTGACCCCACGGAGGTGTGGCAGTGTCCCCACGGAGGTGTGGCAGTGTCCCCACAGGGGTGTGGCAGTGTCCCCACGGGGCTGGCACAGGGACCCTGCCCACCTTGTCCCTGTGCCCCCTGTCCCTCCTCCCTGTCCGTGTCCCTCCCTGTCCCTGTCCCCAGGCGGCTCCTGCAGCAGCTGGAAGTGGCCAAATGCAGCAAAGCCACCCCTGGGAAGGGCCCCCCCCGGGCCCCCCCGGCCGCGGGCGACACCGTCACCTTCGAGCTGTACTGGAGACCAGAGCAGGACCAGTTCACCCAGTCTGCCAAGGTGAGGGGGGCACCACAGGGGGGATTCTGCGATGGGGGGGACTGCACCTGTACCTGACCCACCTGGGGGGTCCTGAGGGGGTGATGGGGGGCACCACACATGTACCCAACCCACCCAGGGGGGTTTTGTGGGGGGGGGGTCACCACACTTGTACCTGACCCACCTGGGGGGGTCCTGCCACCTCACCCCCCAAACCCCCCGTGGGGGTCCTGCCCCCCAGGTGTCGGAGCTGGAGAAGCGCCTGGCACAGCTGGAGGCGGCCATGAGGTGTGAGCCCGACAGCCAGGTGAGTGCCCAGGTGAGGGGGCTGCCCCCTCAGCCTGCCCCCCAACCCCTCCTGCCTCCCTTCTGCCCCCCCGACCCCTCCTGCCCCCTCATTCTGCCCCCCGACCCCTTCTGCCTCCCTTCTGCCCCCCCAACCCCTCCTGCCCCCTCATCCTGCCCTCCCCTTAATCTGTCCCCTTCCTACCCCCCCCATATCCTCCCTCCTGCCCCCCTGCCCCCTCCTGCCCCACACTTGCCCCCCCCGACCTGCTCCCTCTTCTGTCCCCCCCCCAATGCCCCCCAGCTGGTGCCATTTTCCCCCACAGAACCCGCTGCTGGTGGGGCTGAAGGGCTCCAGCCTCATGGTGAGTCAGGACACCCCTTCCCTCTCCCCTCCCCAAGGATTTTGGGGGGCTGCTGTGCCCCCCCTCACCTGTGCCTCCCCCAGGACACGGTGCAGTTGCTGCAGGCCAAGGTGAACATGCTGGACGTGGCCGTGCTGGACCAGGTGGAGGCCAGGCTGCAGGTCAGGGGGCAGAGGGGGGCACTGGGGGGGCACTGGTGGTTTTAGGGGACACTGATGGACTGGGGGGCAGTGCTAAAGTTGTGGGGCACTGCTGGATTTGGGGGAGTACTGGTGGATTTTGGGGGGGCACTGCTGAATTGTGGGGCCACAGCTGGACTGGGGGGGGGCACTTTTGGATTTGGGGCCACTGGTAGAATTGAGGGGACACTGATGAGGTTTGAGGGGCAGTGCTGGATTTGGGAGGCACTGCTGGATTTGGGGGGGCACTGGTGGATTTGGGGGGCGCCGGGGGGTGGGGGGGGGGAACAGCGCTGGAGGGGTCAGTACAGCTCTGGGGGGTCAGTATAGCCCAGGGGGT